CTCCTTTCTCATTTTAATTTGTAGTTCTCTCACCACACATGAACATTAGAAGCTCAGCCTGCTCAGGTATGCAGATGGAAACTAAAACAATCTATAATACTCTATGACTGTGAAATGCTGAGTGCAACCCTTCAGACCATCATATTTGATCCCTTGCTGTATTCAGGTGCCTAACTGGGGTGATAGCAAAGGATGTCCATTCACAGAATATCTTCCCTAACACTGCCCACCCATCCCCACGACATTCTTTGGTGCCTCATGGAATACTAATTTTTCTATCACATCACAGTAGTCAGGAAACAAAATCTCAGGGAACACCTTCAGTCCTCTTGTGCAGGTCCCAAGGTGAGAAATCTTTATCTAAGGCATTCCCAGCATAGCTGCAAACCACCAGAAAGGAAACCAAACCAAAGCAAAGCCTTCTTCAGGCAGACTAAAACATTTCACAACCTTTATCTCAACCGGATATTTTGCCCTTCTGCATCCTCCTGAAATCAGCCCATCCCTGTGGTTCCTTGGACATAGGCCTTTTGTAAAGCAAAAGAGTGCTGAGCTTCCATTTAAAATCAAGCCACCCTAAAATATTTTGCACAGTTGTAACTCAGCACCTCACGTCAATATATTGACTCTGAGAAAAATCCATTCCCTATTTACCAAGCTACTATGAAGATTGCACCTGTGTTCAAAGGGACCAGAGAAGCCAAGGTAGAGGGTGGCAAATGGCATCATCCTCCCTTTTAAACCAAGGATCCATGTGCTCTGACCCTGCAAGCTCAAACTCTAGTACCCTCTCTGCCTGCATGTACACAATTGTTACGTTTTGCAGAACCTAATGGATGCCTAAGCAGCAACGTTTAAATGTTCAGAATGCTTCACATACTTTACTTCCATCTTCTTTGAAGGCCCCTGTAATTTAGAAGACTATTATTATCAATTCTGTATTTATAGGCTAACAGACCTAAGCTTAACCAAAAGCCGCATGATGAGTACACTTCATTAAACGTAAGATTGGAGACAACCTGGGTTACCAGAGGACTTTACATTTTTAGAAACAGAGGCCAGATATTATAACTTGTTTCAGAATCCTGGAGACCTGGATAGCAGAAGTTTATGGTGCATGCACTGGGGGTGAGGTGGGAGTGGAATCTGCAAAATGATGGGTTAAAATACTCTGCCAAATCATACCAGCATGGGCAGGACATTGGGGGAGTGGACTGTCCTTATTTTGGCCCACACAATCCTTTGGTTTATTTATTGATTTATTTCTACCACCACCACCACCTCCACCACTGATCCAGGGATCTAGGCTGGCAGGGTTTGTGTAATTCTTGACCTTTCTTAGCAAATAAAAATTTTAGATCCCAGTGGCCTAGGGATTTCCGATTGTGCTCCTTCCTGGCTTTGCAAAACAGGCACAATTACCAGGATCACTGTTGACAGTAAAGCTGCGGAGCTTTCCACAGGGTTGGCCGTACCATTGCCAAAATGGTAACTGAAGTGGTTGCTTCAGGCAGTGGGTGCTTGGAGATGTTGAGAGGGGAAGAACAGCAGCCTCTGGCCTTAATCTAGGGCTTTCTTGCAGGAGCTGAGTTGCACATATGGAGCATCACTACTTACCCCATCAGGGCTGGCCTGCTAAATTAACTCACAGATGGTTGAGATTCAAATGCCAGTTCATCTGGCTCATATACAAACAACTGGGAGATGCATATTCTTGTCCCTCACTTCAGAGAGCAAGGTCTCTTGGGTCAGTCACATTCCCCATTCACATCAGGCAAGGAGACAGCTGTCCACAGACAAAGGGCTTGTGGACATGTATTGAAGTGAATGCAAAAACTCAATGCTGCAGGAGTGTACTCATATTAGAGGGTACACATGGACCTTTGGATGGAGAGGCAATGTTTTTAAAGACAACGGTAAGATCCTGGCTTTACCAGAAAAATGATCCACAGTGTTTTTGGTACCACAAATGCATTCATGCTCAAAAAGTTTTGCTTCTGTAAACATGAGAGGGAGGAAAACCCCAGGGAGTCACAACCCATTGCAGTGACATTTGCCCAGGTTTTGAAAGACGCATGTCTCCTTTCCTCGCCTTCTCAACATAGGCTGCTCTATGCAGCTGCACTACAGTGTGATCTGTGAATGTCTTGAAAGACATAAGCTTTTTGCTAAAGTGTTGAAGATAACATTGCAAGAACTGATCTTGATATGGGGACCTCCTCCATTTAAGACTTGTCTGAACACACATACACACCCTTGCCAAGTTATATTACGAAGGTGATGGAAGAAATCTGAACAGTGCTCTTAGAAATGCAGAAGTCAGACATCTGGGCTAGAACCTTGTGCACAGGCAAACCTAACTATGCTGCCATCTACCTACTGCACTTCTCCATTTCCTTGGGTCAAGGAACTGGTCACACAACAGACAACAGGCAAAAAAGGGGGAAACTGCTAGATGACTGGACACGTGGTCTTCCCACTATGATTTTGGCCTTAACTTTTCTCTTCTGTTGTTTTGTTTTCATTTTTAAAACATTTATTTTTAAAAACACACACAAAAAAAACTCGGCACATATGGAAGAATACCGAGAACATACACACATCACTGGCTATTTCTATTGCTTTGAGAGATGTTACCACTTCTGACCATACTTCTTAAGAGGCAACCTCACACTATGAAATGGTCCTGATCACTATATGGCATTCAGCCAGTTCATTTTTCTACACTAATTAAGCTACCATGGTTCCAAAAGCCCCGTTTATCCACACTAGTTCTAGAACAAACGAGGGAGGATGAAAGGATGCACCTAATCATTCCTAGAGTTGAAACCAAGGATGCTAATTGAAGTTACAATATTGTTTCACATCAACAGAAGCTGCTCCTTGATGACTTCGGACCCAGTCCACACAACCTGTGACTTACCAAGCCAAGGGCAGCCCATGCGTTATACATTACAACCTACTCCAAGAAGGGAAATGATAAACTCCTTGCATTTTTCTACCTGCCTGAGGAAACAAGGAAAAGAAGCACTGCCCCGCCCCCCAAATTATCCATCTTAGTGGGTCACAATTAAACAGGACTGATTTAAATAAAGTCCAGGCAGCTGTTCCTTTAGGATCTGAAATTAACATCTTCTAATGTATGCAAACCAAGCTAAACATAGCTCACCAGTTATGTGTATGTCAAATGCCTCAAACAATGTGTAAACAAGCCTACCTCTCTCTTCATAGGAGTCTTTAAGTCATCTCATTGCCTGTATCTATGTATGTGTGTATGTAGGCATGTATGAACTTGGACCCATTCTATTCCATTTCTCTCTTCTTCTTTTTTAACCAGATCCCCCACAATCCCCTATCCTGATTGAAGCTTCCATTCCTTCAGGCTCAAATCTTTTCCAAGCTCTATTCTATCCCAATGATCTGGAGCTTAGCAAAATTAACAGCAACAGATCCAATGCAACACAGAATGTCTTCAGATTAAAACTTCGGCATCCTCTCCCTCTTTTCTTGCACCGATTCATAACTCAACTACAAAGGCAAGTCTGTGTAAGTCTTGTTTATTTATCAGGTCTGCCTTTGATGCTCAATGCCACATCTCCCCAGCACTTCATGTCAGTGATCAAAATCACAGTATAATCAAAATAAGCAAGCATCTGTCATTCAGTTTCATTGTCACTGGTTTCCATAACTTGCAGAGCAGCACTTGAGAACAATAGAGTACACTGCTGAGGAGTTGCAGGTACAGTTGCCAGACTGTCCCCTGAAGATCAGCACCATCACCACCACCCCCTTTCATCTTTAAATCTATTATGAAATTAAGAGGTGAGATGCTCCTAGCTTTTCCATCTCCCAAACCAAAATCCACCAATCATATTCTTATGTACACTTGAGTTCTCAATGACAGCTACCTGGTTAAAGAAGGCACAGAATCCAAAGAGAGACACTGATCACTATCTGCTCCACTGCCATCATGTCTCCTCCTGCTTCTGCTCTCTGCACAAGACCTGAAGACCTGCTCATTACCACAAGGGAAGGAAAGAGGGATGACAGGACTGAGAGTAAATGGGAAGGAGAAACTTAGGCTACCTCATCCCCCCATTTCAGAAGCAGATTTCAGTATAAAGGGAGAGCTTGGCAGCCGCAAGTGGAAAGCTAAAATCTGTGCCTCCCTACCCCAAACCATGGTTGCCAGGTAAGTTCTTCTGCAGTTCTTTTGTTGCTTGTTTGTTTCTTAAGATCTGTCTTCTGCATGGGCACTATGTACTGCAATAACTAAAGTCTCAACACCAGCACTGAAAGAGTTTCAAAATATTAAGCAAACATTTCCTTCACCCTCCTTTTGAATGTTTTTTTTTCTTCCATTCCTAAATATATTCCTTATCCTCTTTGTCATGGTCTCCACCACCATTTTTTTTCATCTGAATCATACCACATGCCAAAGGAGGAATCATTCTCCAAATGTGTATCTTGATGTTGATAAACTGGCACCGCTCACAGGCAATAAAGAGGCCCAGAACAACCCCAAAGTTTGTGGAAGAAGGATAAAACCATATAGAACAAAATCTAAAAGGATTTTTAAAGCCCTAAGACCAATTCAGGGAGATCTAAACACTTATAGCAGACACATAGAGTCCTGTTGAAAAGACTCAGTATCCCAGAAGAGAGCAAGGCTGATCTCCTGAACAACCCAAACTGCAACATTTTATTGCAGGTTCAATTGTAGTCCATAATCTGCTTTAAAGAGCTTTCCCATCTTGGAAATAAATCACATTTCCAAGGGAGTAGCCATGTTAGAATGAGAAGAATTCTGGCACCTTGAGGACTAACAAGTGTTATTTAGTATGAGTTTTGTCACAAGCTACAGTTCATGACAGTCATGACAAAACAAAACCAGAAGCTTGTTAGTCTTTAAAGGGCCACGGACAGCATCTACTGTACAGATGCTCCACAGACATCCTATCCAGGGAGGAGGAGGGGGAGAGGAAAAAAAGATTTCTCACCATCTGAGAGCTCTACTTCATAGGGGGATGGTCTTCTTTTCACTCGGTTGTTGTTGTACATTGAGAAGTTGTCGGGCTCTCCAAAAAACCCACTGCAAAGCAAGAGGCAGAAAACACGAAGTGAGGGAAAGCCCAGACAGACCAGCTCAGCATACCTGCACTACAGCCAATGAGAAGACATAACGATGTCCCTTTCGTTGCCAATTCGCATAGGGGTATGTTTGACTGCATGGGTGTGCATTCTGCCTGTGCAGTATGAGCTAAAACACATACACACTGTGTGCACCCACATTATAAATGCCTGTCACATATGCACATGCAGGCACAAAGAGACCTTAGGCTGCACTTCTAAGCGAATTAATTTGGATATAAATTCCACTGAAATCCACTCTTCTTTGAAAGAAACAGCTTTAAGATTCACATGTATTACTCGCCTGCCTTTAGCACTGTTTGGGTGTTTCTAAAAGAAGAATTAAGGTACAATTTGTAGCACTTTTTTTTAAAAAAAGCCTATGGGGTGCTTACCCAGCTTAAAGTATTTGGCACCAAGAAATTGTGGTCAAAGCATCTGCTAACCTGGAAAAAGGCAGCGTGGCTGTTCTTTTACAGAGCTTTCGCTCATCCTCCAAACTGCATTGCATTTCTGCAGGCAGTTAAAAAAAAAACCTCTCAGCCATTACTCAAATAATGGTAGCAACACAACGGGAGCAATACATGTTAAACACCCAGTATAATCGCTGAAACAAAACATTTTCGCTCTGTTCTGATCTATTTCATCAATGTCTTCACCTAGATTAGTGGAAAAATTGGGGGGATGGGAGAGGAGAGAGAGGGGAAAGGAGAGAGAAAGAGAGATAATCTAGAAAACAATACCGGTATCTTGGTCAATTGTTGTGCCATTTGCTATTACCATATCTACTATTAGTAACATTTCTGTATTTCATTCGGCAGAGTGCTTTACAATGATGCTAAGTATCCTTTCAGAATGGGCAACATTTTAAAATGTGGTTCCATAAATGCTGCATTTCAGAAAATGTATTTTATATGAAGACATCGGCAAAATGAAGGGTAATTTTGGCACTTTTTAACCTCAGTTTGCTGCCGTTACTTTTGGGAGAGAAAGAATAATTGTTTCCTGACATTCCGATGGGCACAAAGAAGGGAAGGCGCTTTGCCGGGCAGGCCCATCGGGCGAAATCTGGCCCGTTGAACGCAGCCCCAAATTGGGGGGGGGGGGGGCACACGTCTAGACGTTTGGAAGGCAAAGAAAAAAGAAAGGGAAATCGCCCGTGGGGTAGGACTAGGAGGGCACAGGAAGGAAGGAAGGGCAAAAGATCGGAGAAGGGACCAAAGGAAGCAAGACAAGCAGCGGAATAAAACGAAAGCGGGTTGAAGACAAGCGAAAAGCTCCCAGAAAGGCGCGGAGAAGGGACAAGCTGCAGGCTCTGCCCGAGAACCAGGCCGCCGGGCGATGCTAGGAGAACCCCCCCTCCCGGCCCCGCAAGACGTGGGAGCGGAGGCGGCAGAGCCCGAGGCGGCTTCTCGCGGCGGAACGGACCTGCTG